CTTGGAGCTTCTGTTTCATGTTTAAGTTATCAACACCTGATCTCCTCAAATCCAATTACATATGGAAAAGTTCAACTTGATGATGATGACGATGTTGCTGTTATGGTTGGACTTCATCAATCATCAAATAATAATATGGTGGAGATATACGTCGAAACCATGAATACAACTGATATTCTAACGTCATCATACCAGCTCGAAGAACAGAAGAAGAAAGACCCTCTTAATCACATGCAAGTTATGGGATGATAACCTTGTTCGACGGTCATAAGTATATGATATTGAGGGTCGACGTTACGACCATATGACTACCAACCTTATTGAATGTATCAACTTAGTGCTGAAAGGGACTCAATATCTCCCGATAACAAGTATTGTTAGGGAGACTTACTTTAGGTTGGGTAAAATATGGGCAGGCAAAAGTGCACAAATTGATGTAATGATAAGCGATGGGAGAAATTGGGCTCTAAGATTTAGAGAAGGCAATGCAAAAGAATCAAACACATACGACATCAATGTTTGTTCACAATTTTGCCAGACTTGATTCTGATTTCATTGTCCAAGCACTAGTTGACCTCATGAGGGAGGTAATTCTACAACATACACTGGTAATCTGAATAGAAGATGGTGTGATTTTGGTCGATTTCAAGCTTTTAGGTTCTCATGCACTCATTGTTGCTGCATGTATGCACATCAATGTTACCCATACTTATACGCTGATAATTGTTATAGCTTGTACACTATGCACAACATTTACAAATTGTGACTTCAAATACCTCCCAAATGAAGCATATTGGCCTCCATGCAATTTTTTAGGAATGGTTGCTAAATCCTTAATTGCGTAGGAAGTTATGGGGTCGACCTGAATCTAGTCGAATTCATACCGATATGGATGATCCTCAAAGAGAGCTAGGTTAACCCAAACTTTTTGGCCACTGCAGAGGTGAAAGTCATAACATAAAACATTGTCCACATCTTCCTAAATATCGAGCTGAACGCTAAAATAGGCGTTACAAAATATTATGTGCTGTAAAACCCCTAGTTCTAAACTATTAGTAAAATTTTGTTTTTTTTTTTCAAGGATCAAGAGTAACCTTTGGAAACCCCTAGTTATTCAATGATTATCGGTACTACCTTTGTAATTTTTAAATAAATCTAGCTATTTAAGACCATTGGGCTGGACAGTATTGGTACTCCTCTTAATGGTATCGAGACTACTGTATAAAGTAGTATCGGTACCCCCATAAATATTGCTACCTATTTTGCATTCTGAAATTTGACCCGTTTGGAAAATACTGTGATACTTCTTTTACCTTTGGTATGGTACCAAATGAACAATATCAATACTGTTTTTTTAATTGAAAATGGAGAAGACAAATTTGTAATTGACAATTTAAAATTTAAATTTAAAACTTCATACATGTTTTTTAATGGAGAATTTACTCAAAATTAATCATTTTGATAACTATAACATCCCATTTTAATGATAAATAAAATTTTGAATTTTAATGAGACAATAATTTATTAATAAAGACAACATCATACATAAACTAAAACCATACAAATCAATATTTGTACATATGTCATTTTTTTACATCTCTCTATAATTCGATCTTCCTTCGTCTTCTTATTCTCAATTTCTATACTTCTTTCATTTTTTTCCCTCTCAACTAGTCGTTTGCTATGCCACTTTGGTAAATCTTCATATTTCTTATTCTTCTCCTCTTTCAATTTCATTTTATTCTTCTTATTCTCATCAACTATGTACTTTATTGCCTCCTTTTCTCACTCTTCATCTGAAGAATAACTGGAATCCGAATCGTCGATCTCCGAGTCGGTGTTGTGAAACACATAAACTCCGTTAGCCAAATCAATCCCAAATTTTTCTCACGGCCACATATTTGATATTCTCAATTTTTTATCACTTCTCATACATCATAATCTTCACCCTAAACTCCTACTTATACTAAAATTTTCAAAATAGTTTAATTTTAAAAAAATTGATCATTTCATAATTGTCACCCTAACGGTCCAATTTTTGAATTTATACCAGTTGAAACTCGTCACACTGGCGTGACGAGTTCATGTAGTTTTTTTTTCAAAATTTGTTAAAAAATTCTAAAAGTTTGATATTATTTTTAACTTCAAAATTTTAAAAATTTACATATTTTTAACTTCAAAATTTTAAAATTTTAAAATTTTAAAATTTTATTTACATATTTTTATTTTTTAATTTTATTAACTACACTAAATATCAATGAAATTTAAACAATTATAAAATTTTTATAATTTTAAAAAATTACACTTTATTTAATTATAATTTAAAAATTCAACAAATTTATTACTTAGCAATGAATTTTTTATACAATTAAATATTGAGTACAAAAACTTAAATAAATAAATTTATTACTTATATTTGCGCAATTCTTGCCGATGTCGAGGTGTGATAGAATGGTAATGACGTGGTGCTCGTAGATTTTGTCATGGTCGTCTACCTTATTCATTTTCCTCTTCTTTCTGTTTCTGTGTGCCGAACATTACTCCACCACTTTGATATACATCTTCGGAAGAAAACGATGGAGTATTCAAGGTATTTGATGCCATCATTGACGTCATCGTCTCAAATTGAGATTGTCTGTGATGAAAAAGATGATGATGATCTCATGAACCTTTTTCTTCCGGTTCCGAGGAAAATTGTTGTGAAGGTGGCACTTGATCCCACCCACTTCCTTCCCATGCTGCTCGACTCTCCATCGATGGTTGATATGCACCATATCCAACATAACTTTCTTACGATGGATAATAATTGGCGGAAGCATAAAATGAAGATGTTGACAAAGATGATGATTTTTTTCCATATTTTGCCTTAATTATTTCCCATTCTGACCGCTCCTCTGGCGTTGTCAAGTATGGTTTCCTATTTGCTTCATAATTTTGGAGGTAGGAAGAAACATTGAAATCAAAATCTTCAAGTTGTACCTTGGAACAATTAGGCAATCGTAAATGTCTATTTTGCCATTGATGAATGATGTAGCATGCTTCCTCGACCAATCTTCGCTATGTTCCACGCACATCTATTTTATGCAAATCGTCAATGTTATATATTGACATTTCTATCAGTTGGTGAAACCAAAATTGTCGAAAATTCTATTGGCGGCGTGGATCTCAACAATTATGAAATGAAGCAATGGTGTTATGGCACACTATGTCTTCGCTCCTTCAAAGAACATTGGTGGTACACATCGTTGGATATCCAACTCATAATAAGGCATCCAATTAAACTGTCAAAAGTATTATGTTAGTATAATTAAACAATTAATATTACGATTTCAAAGTTAATGCAAAAAAAAATTATTTTATGTCTACCAGCGATATCAATTCTCATCCGAATATCTACTTTGGTTGCACCCGTCAACTTTGTATCGGTTATTCGGTGTCGCCATCTAAAAAAATTATGTTATTTATTGTCATTTTCAAAATATTAAAATAAATATTATAAAATATTAAAATATTAAATATATGAATTTACCTTGCGGTGAGAGGAAACTCCATAGGAGCGGATGTAATAAGCGTCATAAACGAGAGACGATATGATTGGATTAAAACTAAACAACCCGCTACATCAGATTTTTTCCTCTAACGACTACGGTCGCCTTATATAGTTCACGATACAAAAATGCCAAAATTGCATAACCCCAACTATATTGGCAACATACAGCGAAATCCTCCATTACCGAAGATATTGGGTGTGCACCAAATTGCCCGATTTATCCGGTAGCAAGATCCCTCCAATTAATGTCATAAGATATATTCGAGCTGTATATATCACCTCTTGCTCTGTTGATTGTTCATCTACTCTAAATTCTCTTCCCAATCACGTCATATGTACCCACAACCCATCAATGACATCAGCTGGAGCCTCCTTTCCCAATTAAATTTGAAATAACATCATTTACCTTATAAATGTTGCGAAGCGCCAATGACATATCATTAATCAGAACGCCAAGTTGATAAGCGACATCTTCCAAAGTTATCGTCACTTCACCACAAGATAAATGAAACATATGTGTTTCGGGCCTCCAATGCTCAATCAAAGCCGATATCAGTTCCATCATCATCTTAAATCTACGAAGAAACGTCGCTCCATATAATCTGGATTGTGAAAGATATATCACCATCCGCTCATATGGCTCTTCATTCGTCATTCCTCGATGACGAATGGTTCGTTCTTCTCGCTACAATTTGAAAATCAATTATTTAATACAATTACATAAATAATTATTATTAATAATATCATTTCATTAAAACTAAAATGAAATTAAACAAATTAAATTTGCTGTTGTCAACTCGATTTACAAAATATGAACATCATCAAGACGTAACATTTCTTCTCTTGAGACAATTTCAACACAAAATCTTCAACACAAAAGTTTTTGTTCTCAATAGAATGTTTGATTACAAATGAAAAATAATTCAACTCAAACTTCTATTTATATTACGTTACCCAACGACTAGTTTTTTCAAATTTAAAGTAGTCGTTGGAACTCGTCACATCATTGAAATTTTAAAAGAATTTCGACCGTTGAATAACAGTCAATCCAACGGTCAAAAAATTCAAATGTATACCGTTGGAACTTGTCACACCGGCATGACGAGTTTCGTGGGTATTAAAATATTATTTTTTTCTTTTACTTTTCTTTTAAAAATTTTGATTTTTTTATTAGGACTCGTCACGCTGAAGTGACGAATCTCTCAGTATATATTAAATTTATTCTGGATGCGAGACATACCTGACACGGTCTATTAAAAATTATATAATAAGAAACTCGTCATGCCGACGTAAAGAGTTTTATGAATACTATTGCAATTGTCGTAGATCTCAAATTAAAAGTTAGGGAAGATTATTTGGTTAATTTGGCCCGGTCCATATTTGTTTTTGGTTTTTATTTTTTTAGTATAGTCTTGTTTTCTTAACACGTTTTTTCCTGTCTTCCCGTGCGTTCTCTCTTTTCTTTTCCCCAAATATCTCTGATATTAGGTTTAACGATTGCTTGTCGTAATGTCGTCCGATTCGAAAATTCTTGATTTCAATCATCCACTTTATCTTCATCCTTCCTATGCACCAGGTACGATGTTGGTTTCTCAACCGTTAACAGGCCTCGAGAACTATGGCGTGTGGAGTCGCTCCATGCGCATCACCTTGCTCGCGAAGAACAAGATTGGGATTGTTGATGATTCTTGTTAGCGGAGCTCTTTTGCAGAGGCTTTGAGAGCACAGTGGGATCGGTGTAACGCCGTTGTACTCTCTTGGATACTGAATTCGGTTAGCAAGGAGCTCTCGATGGGTATCATCTTTAATTGTAATGCGGCATTCGTCTGGCAAGATCTTCAGGAACGTTTGACAAAGTCGATGGGTCTCAGATATTTTTTACACCGGGAGATTGTTACAATTTGTCAGGGTGAGTCTACTGTATCTACTTACTTTACTCACCTCAAATTACTATGGGACAAGTATGAAGCTGATATTATTTTATTTGTTTCGTGTGAGTGTGAGGTCTCACAGAGGAATATGGCACATTTGGTGCAATAGAAACTTGTTCAGTTCTTGATGGGTTTCAGTGACAGTTATGCTGCGATTAAGAGCCAAATTCTTATTATGTAGTCGCTTCCATCTGCTAATAGAGCTTACTCCATGATCGTTCAGGAAGTGTCCCAACGGTCTCACCTGTCTTCCATCGTATCTGAGACCACTACTCTATTTTCTAGTTCCTCTAAGGGTTCTGATCGGCGTTTCACAGGAACTTGTTATTACTGTAATGTTCATGGTCATAAGAAAGATCAGTGTTATCGTTTAATAGGGTTTCCTCCTGGTTATAGGAATTCGAAAAAAGGGGAAGCCAGTCCTCTATGGTTGCTACTTCTTCTGTTCTTCCAGATTCTAGAGGCAATAGTGACTCACAATCTGCCTCGATGGCGCCTACGTTCACTAGAGATCAGTACGATCAAATCTTGCATTTACTGAATCAGCCTCCTTCAACATCATCATTAGTAAATACTACAGGTATGATTGTTGATAATTCTGTTTATGCTAATATGTCATTTTGTTGGATCATAGACACGGGTGCCACAGATCATATATTATGTGATTTTCAGAGCTTGGTCAATCCTGTTCCTTGTGTTTCATTATGCCTTGTTCACTTACCTGATGGGAAAACAGTACATGTCACACATCTTGGTTCATATGAGTTTTTTCCTGGGCAGTTCCTTACTAATGTTCTTCATGTTCCCTGTTTTCATCATAACTTGCTTTCAGTTTCTAAATTGACTAAAGACTTAATTGTAGTCTTATTTTTTATCCTGATTTTTGCCATATTCAGGATTTTTTAAGTGGAAGGACAAAGGGGATTGGTAGGCATCTCAAAGGGTTATATTTTTTTGAGTCTTCGACAAGTGAAACTGGTTTGTCTTCTAAAGCTTTGGCTTTGCTCGATTCTTTTTCCAAGAATATTGAGTCTTCTTTGTCTAGCTCTGTTACCATTGTTGAGGTTCCTTCTGATTTAGCTATTTGTTTGACTAGTTCTATGAGTAATTCTACATGTACTTGGTATGCCCATCTTGGGCACGCTTTTCAGTCAAAAATGAATAAAGTTTCTTTTTGCATAATGTTCCTTTTGATTTTGTTTCTATTCATAAATGTATTGTGTGTCCCTTAACTAAACAAACACGTTTACCTTTCCCTTTTAGTTCTTCTCGGTCAAATAAACCATTTCAACTCGTTAACCTTGATTTATGGGACCCTTATCGTTTTTCAACTCATAGTGGATGTAGGTCCTTTCTCACAATTGTTGATGATTGCACTAGGGTTAGTTGGGTTTATCTTTTGAAGCATAAGAGTGATGCCCTTGCTTGTCTAAAACAGTTCTTGTTGATGGTTCTGAGTTTTTTAGTACTGAGGGTAATAGTTTTTTTTTCTTCCCTGGTCATTATTCATCAAAGCTCATGTGTTCATACCCCCTAACAAAATGGGATTGCTGAGAGAAAACATATACATATTTTGGAAGTAGCTAAAGCTTTACGTTTTCATTCTAAGGTTCCCATAAAATTTGGGGGGATTGTGTCTTGACTGCTTGTTATCTTATAAATAGGCTCCCTACTGCTGTGTTAGGGTGGAAGTCTACTCTTGAGATGCTTTTCAAGAAACCACCAAATTTGTCCCACTTTCGAATTTTTGGCTGCCTCTGCTATGCTACAAAACCCAATTACGATGACAAATATTCTCCAAAAGCTATACCTTCTGTCTTTCTTGGATATTCCAGCACCCAAAAAGGATACATTTTGTTTGATCTAAATACTAAGGTTTTCTTTGCTAATCGTGATGTTGTCTTTCATGAAAACATCTTCCCATTCTATTTTACCTCTGCAGAGTTCATGATTCTAATTTTTTGGTATTAAAAGTTCCTGCACCTACTCCTGTTTCATTGCCTTCTTTTCCCCCTTCTCAACCTATGTCTACATCACCAATTGAATCTGATTGTCCTTTGCCACCTGTTTCTGACCCAGCACCTGTGTTTGCGCCCATTTCTGACCCAATACCTGAGTCTGAGTCCATTTCTGAACCAGCACCTGCTGTTGTACCACAACCTGTTTCTATTGCGCAAATATTTCCTCCTGTTCGGTCGTCTTCTAGAATGTTTAGGCCTCCTAATTGGTTGCATGACTATGCCCATTCCTGCCAATCCACTTCTCCTTCAGGTCAATACCCTATTTTTAATTATTTCCCTTATTCTCATTTACCTAAACCAACAGAGTCCTATATTCTTTTTATTTCTTAAGTTTCTGAACCCGACTTATGATGAGGCCAAAACCGATACAAGCTATGGCCGAGGAGATTCAGACTCTATAGTTGAATAATACTTGGACTGCGGTACCTTTTCCAAGTTGGTATTGGCTGTAAGTGGGTGTTTCGCGTTAAATACAAAACCTCTGGAGAATTGGAGAGATTCAAGGCCCGACTTGTTGCCAAGGGGTACAATCAACAAGAAGGAGTTGACTTTGTTGAGACTTTTTCCCCGGTGGTCAAAATGACCACTGTTCATCTGGTTTTGGCACTTGCTTCTATTTTTTAGTGGCCGTTGTGGCAAATAGATGTCCACAATGCCTTCCTCCAAGGAGATTTGCTTGAGGAGATTTACATGCAGCTTCCACAATGCTTTTGTAGCCAAGGGGAGAACGTAGCTTGCAAATTACAAAAGTCTTTGCATAACTTGAAGCAGGCATCAATGCAGTGGAATGCTAAGCTAATTGAGGCTTTACTTGCACCTGGTTTCGCTCAGAGCAAATACAATTATTCCTTATTCACACAACGGAAAGGGTCCAAAATCGTTTTTCTTCTAGTTTATGTAGATGATCTCTTGATCACTGGGAATGATGATAAAATGATTGAGGAACTCAAAGCTGTTTTGCACAAGAGATTCAAGATGAAGGACTTGGGTGAATTAAAGTAATTCATTGGGCTTGAAATTTTTAGATCAAAGGAGGGAATTTTGTTAAACCAACGTAAGTATATGCTCTTGAACTTATTCAAGATTCAGGAATGAATGGAGCTAAGCCTACTATGACACCATTAGAACAAAATTGTAAGTTTACTACTGCTGGTTTGGATGAACATTTACAGCAAAGTGAAGATGAGTTTTTGGGGAATAAAGCTAAGTATCAAAGACTGATTGGTAGACTTTTATACTTGACAAACAAAAGACCTGGCATAGCCTATTCAGTACAACATCTCAGTCAGTTTATGCATCAACCCAAAAAAGAGGATGAAGAGGCTGCCATGAGGATTGTGAGATATTTGAAGAAAAATCATGGTCAGGGCATATTACTGAAAGCAACAAGTAAATGTGAGTTAGTGGCAAGCTGTGATTCTGCTGGGCAGCGTGTCCAATGACCAGAAGATCTGTTATTGGGTATTGCATGAAACTGGGAGAGTCCTTGATCTCGTGGAAGTCGAAAAACAACCCACTGTTGCTAGATCCTCTGCTGAAGCAGAGTATAGAAGTATGGTAGTGGCAGAGTATAGAAGTATGGTAGTGACTGTGTCTGAGATTGTATTGCTAAGTGGATTACTTGAGGAACTTGGAATAAAAGGAGTTCAACCAGCAAGGCTCTTGAGTGATAGTAAGGCTGCTTTGCAGATTGGCTCCAATCCTGTTTTCCATGAGAGAATAAAACACAGAGAAATAGATTGTCATTTTGTCAAAAAAAATCCAGAAAGGTTTGATTCGAACTGAGCATGTGGCTTCAATAGAGCAAGAAGCTGACATTTTCACCAAGGAGTTGGTAGCAACTCAACACAACTATTTGATGTCCAAGTGGGGGGGAGTAAAGGATGTTTACATACCAACTTGAGGAGGAGTGTTGAGTCATTGTAAACTTAGTTGTGCTCTGTAGTTGGTTTGTTATAATGGTAGTTGTTAGCTTGTTAGCAATATACTTGTATATAAAGGTACGAGTGTTCAGATTGATTAATAATGAAAATTAGAAATTCTTTCATTTCTTTAGTCTTAACAAATTTGCCTACCTACATCTAAAATTTTCAACTATGATTTCTTCATTAAATCAAGAGGCCTAATTTCGGTTCCTTGTATTTGTTGTACTCCTAGAATTCGACTACTGACTAACCAAGCTAAAGCAACTTCCCATGGATTCATATACCATGCATCGCTGTAAATCTCGATTATACCAGTAAATTTCTAGCTTCTTTTCTTCTATATACTAACCCATGGATGCTTACGTTCTTCTTCATCTAAACAACATTTTTCAGGAGCTTAACTATATATTCGGGAAGACATGAACTTCCTCAGGCTCTCTTTTGTTGACTATGGTGACCATAACTCTTTCCGTCAACATAAGTGAAAATTCTCTTTTTCTTCCTGAGGATCACCAAATCCTGAAATGACTTTCTTCCTCAAGCAGGTCGATTCGTCACCCAAAAATCTCGTCCTGCCGTCACATGCGACCGACACCCTTAAATGTGTCGCAAGAGGGACAGCCAGGGTCCGTTTCGCTGCAAAAAAAAAAAGTCTAGTCTAGACATAAAGACAGACAAATTCAACTGTGGGAAGTGTGGGAAGAAGTGTAACTATTCCAAGATTTGCTGTGTGAGCCCATTGTCCAACCAGAAACACTGTGGAGGATGCAACAATAGCTGTGGTAAAGGAAACCCATGTGTTTATGCATGGGATTTGCAGTTATGCATAAAATTTGGATACTCCGCGTTTAAGTTCATCAACATATATGAGCTGTGTTGCAGACTATGACATGAATCCAGTTTTCTTCTATTATAGCTAAGGAATACTGTGTGTACCACTAATAAAGTAATAAAGGCCAAAGCATCGTTGATGTTGTCACATGTTTAAATGTATTATTGGTTTTGTCTTTCTATAATGTAAGGTAAAATTAAATATTTAGAGAAACTTTCGAATCTTTAAAATATTTTATGGTAATGATTCATATAATATTAAATTAACTTTGAAAACTAGAATAAATTACATCCATGAATTATGAAGAGATTTTAATTTGAATATTGATATTTTAGTTTTATCAATTAAATTATTATTATTATTATTATTATTATTATTATTATTATCTTTCTGGTTCTACAACCTTTGCCTTAACTAATTCGGACTGACCCATGTCACACACGTGGTTTTGGTGGGTGAATCTCTCAATAAAGATTTTCTACATACACAAGAAGTCAAACTCGAGACCTACTTAAACGATATTAATTGGGTTACCACTTGAATTAACGGAAAATTCTACAGTGCACGTCACACACCGAAACACACCACTAAAGTGACATGCCAAAACGTATCACTAACTAAATTATCCTTATTAAGTAAATATTAAATTACATGTTTTATACCTAAATTATTACTTTTTTTAAATTTTAGTATTTAAACTTTAGTTTTTTAAAAACTATTGACGGTAATCCTTATGTGTCATGACAAGTTAATTCTTTTATTTTTTTAATTACCACATCACTTTTTTTTTTTTTTATTTTTTTAATTAATTTTATTCAACCAATTAGGTAGTGACATGTGTCACCACCTATGAGATAAAAAGATAGAAATCATTCTTTCCCCTAGTATGATTTAATAATGAGCATCTTACATGAGAAACAAATCACTCAACATTGAGATAAACTAGTCATTTGAGTAAATTTCACCACATTTTATATTTAACTTATATAACAATATCACTACAAAATTAATATTTTTCGATGATTATAAGATTCAAATATGAGACTCTTTAAATTAATCACCGAAAGCTTAGTCACTCAACTATAGTATCAATTTTTTTTATTATGTTGAACTTAATATTTACTTATATCATTATTGTAACATCCTCGATACCGGGTTAGTGATTTAAGTGTAATTTTTTTTTAAATTCAATGACCAAATTAAATAAATTGAAAAGTGAAGGAATTAATTAAAAGATGTTGATATAGGATTAATTAATAAGCGAAGGAGAAATAAGAGGGTAAAAGGGTCATTGAGCAAATAAAAGAATATAATAATAAATTGTGGGTATTATAATACCCATGTGAATGAATTGAGGAGATAAGTTTCCAGATTTCTTATCTTCTTCACTCTTTTCTTCTTTCAAACGTGAAGACCCAAGCTTAAGGTAAGAATCTGAACCTTAGTTGTTTCTTTGATTTTTGGTTTAGTAATGAAAGTTTGGATGTTATATAAGCTAAAGGAAAGCTTATATGACATTAAAACAACAAGATAAGTGTTTTAGAGATGGATTTAAAGAATGTGTTTTTAGATGAAATTTTGATATGGATGAGTTTTTGAAATTTGAATAAGATTTTTGACTTGTCAAGAGGTTAATTAAGGAATATAGAGTGTTAGAATTGGATTTAAAACATGTTGAAAGATTTGGTATGATTCTTAGCTTTAAGAATTTGAATGAAGTATTGGAGATAATAAGGTGTATGAATGATAGAAGTTAGTTAAAATAGTTGTAGTTGAATTTAGTGGTATGAAAGGAGTTTTGTATGAGGAAATTCAGTGATGAGTTGATGAATTTTTGGGTGAAAAATTCCAGAACGTAATAAGGGTACCGATACCCTAAGGAGGGTATCGATACCCCCTAAAGGAAAAGTTAAAGTTTGGTTCATTAAGTCATTTAAGCTATTAGTATCAAATTATAAGGTTTAGGTTTTTGATAATTGTCTCGAAAATTATGTTTATGTAGATATCGAGCCTAAAAGAGTTCCGGAACAAGGGACAAGTAAGATCAAACGAGGAAAAGGCAAAGAGATCTAGGTGAGTGCATATGCATAGCATGATTATAGAAATATATTCAGTTCTAGACTTGTGATAAGTTAGATTTTATATCTTGATACATGATCACATTTCATATTATGATACATGACATGAATTCATATTATAAGCATTATGTGACATGAATATGCAGGAAAAGTTATATGAGCTATGTGATAAAGGTATGGAAAATGATATGTCTATGTGATAAAGGTATGTGAATTGTGAAAGCCCATGTTATGTAGATGAGAACTATAGGTATAGTTGGCATGTCAAGAGTAGAGGGTCTACGCGGTCCTTCGGGACAAATTCTACGTGGTCCTTTGGGACATATATGTATTCTTTGGAACATGTATGAGATCTTTTGAGACACCTACTTGATCCTTGGTATATGTATATGATTCTTAAAGAATTGCTATGTGGTCCTTAGGGACATATTATATGGCACTACGGTGCAATTCTACGTGGAACTTCGGTGCATTTCTACGCGGTCCTTCGGGACAAATTCTACGTGGCACTTCGGTGCAAATTTATATGAGCTGTGGTGACAGCATAGTGCACAACCTCACAGTACTTATATACCTCGGGTTCTCAGTATTGTATCATGGGCTATTGAATCTATTGAACTTACTAAACTTATTATATGAATTCATGATGGTTAAATTGAGGAGATTATTGGTAAGATACATTGTTATGCATATTACATAGATTGCTTAGATGAATTCATTACATTTTATTTTATTATGGCATCACTATTATATTTCATATTTAATATTATTATGCCTCAATAAGTTTATGACTTAGCGTGTAAGTGATTTACACGTAGGTACGAACCAAGATTAGCAGAAATAGAAGTGGCAAAAACAGCAACACTGCTAGAAGATCAGATCAGAAGTAATTGATAAAGTATGTATTTTGATTATGTATAATATGTTGGCATGTAAGAAATGTAATAAGTTGTTAGTATGAACGCTGTGATTGACTTTTCTAATGTTTTGAACGTATTTATGTAAATGTGTAGTAAGAACTGTTAAATTTTTATGGGTTTTATGAATGTTTTACGAAAATATTATAGCAGTACTGTGGCAGGGGTATCGGTACCCTATAGCATGGTATCGATACCCTATTTGTAATCTGGAAAATTTAACATTTTGGGTATTGTACATATTGTATAATATTGTTTATAAATACATTTTTATCTCAAAATTTTATATCGAATATAATTTAATAATATATTATCGTATTTTCTTAAAATAACTTCAAATGTTTTGCTATTTTGTAAGGAAAAGTGTTTTAAAAAGACAATGTGACATCTCAGACTCGTATTCTGGTCGGGTACGGGTTGAGGTGTTACATTTAATGGCATCAGAGCTAAGGTTTAGTCGATTTTAGGTATAAAATGGAGTTTAGAGAGGTAGAGTTTCAGATTGAAGTAATGCCAGGAACTGCACCTATTGCTATGGCCCCATACAGAATGGCTCCAAAAGAATTACAAGAATTAAAGATTCAATTACAAGAATTATTGGACAAAGGGTTTATTAGACCAAGTGTCTCACCATGGGGACTTTGGTTTTGTTCGTCAAAAAGAAGGATGGGTCAATGTGTCTTTACATTGATTATAGGCAGCTCAATAAAGTGACCATTAAGCATAAGTATCCCCTCCCCCAAATTGACCATCTGTTTGATCAGTTAAAGGGAGTTTCAGTGTTCTCAAAAATTGATTTACGTTCTGGTTATCATCAATTAAAGATTCAATATAAGGATATTTCAAATACAACATTTAGAACGAGATATGGTCATTATGAGTTTATCGTGATGCCATTTGGAGTTACGAATGCACCGGCTGCTTTCATGGATCTCATGAATAGAATATTCCAACCCTATTTGGATCAGTTCGTGGTGGTGTTCATTGACGATATTCTAGTGTATTCAAAGTCCAGAGAAGAACATAGTTCACACTTGACGAAGGTGTTACAGATTTTACGAGAAAAGAAACTTTATTCTAAACTCTCTAAATGTGAATTCTGGTTGAATGAAGTTATGTTCCTTGGACATGTGATTTCTGCAGAAGGAATTCGAGTGGATCCTCAAAAGATTAAAGCCATCTTAGAGTGGGAAGTTCCAAAGAATATGTCAGAAGTCTGGAGTTTTTGGGGTTAGCTGGTTATTATCGAAGATTCGTTAAAAACTTTTCGATAATAGCATTACCCCTAACCAAGTTATTTAGGAAAGAGGTAAAATTTGCTTGGACTCTGGAATGTCAAGAAAGTTTTGAAAAGTTAAAGAAGATTTTGACAGAAGCTCCAGTGTTAGTTCAACCTGAATCAGGTAAGAATTTTGTGGTGTATAGTGACGCGTCCCATAATGGCTTGGGATGTGTGCTAATGCAAGAAGGCAAGGTGGTGGCTATGCTTCGAGGCAATTAAAGTCGCATGAAAAGAATTATCCGACACATAATCTAGAAATGGTTGTTGTAGTGTTTGCTCTCAAGATTTGGCGTCATTACTTATACGGAGAACATTGATACTTGTATACGGATCATAAGAGTTTGAAGTATTTGATGACTCAAAAAGAGCTTAATTTGAGGCAAAGGAGATGGGTTGAGTTTTTAAGAGATTATGATGTGATAATTGACTATCATCCCGGAAAAGCTAATGTGGTAGCAGATGCTTTGAGTAGGAAAACGTTTGCAACTTTACGAGCTATGGATGCAAGATTATCTTTAACTGGAGACAGTGGTCTATGTGCAGAGTTAAAGCTTAAACCAACGTGGTTGGATCGAATTGGAGAATTACAAAGTAAAGATGAAATGTGTTTGAAAAGAATAGAGCAAGTAAAGAATAAAGAGATTAAGGAGTTTGAGGTTAAGTCGGATGGGAAATTATATTATAAAGGAAGAATGGTGATACCAGACGATGAGGAGTTGAAGAAAGATTTATTGATAGAGGCTCATTGCAGTCCATTGACGATGCATCCGGGTGGAACCAAGATGTATATGGATTTGAAGGATCGATATTGGTGGCCAGGGATGAAACGAAGCATCACCAAAT